TGGATTCCAATAGTTAGTGGAATTCCGGATTCCTTGAGCTGTATTCCGAAAATACAGGATTTTTCTGGGTTCCGGATTCCACAAGCAAAAATATCCCGGATTCCGTCAGTGATTGTGGTTAATAGAATTTGATTTTCTTAGTACACATCAGCCTCCATAAAATACATTGCCTCCGTTGATCAAGAGAGAATCGTTCATTCCCTTTCGCTGATTATTCATTTTCACGACAGCAGTAATAGGCACGATAGTTTTGTTGAAGGTAATAACCAGTCCCCTGTTAATTGAAGTGTAGTACAGACCGGATTTTACTGTTGCTGTAATTCATAGTTTTTCAATAAAGTTCGCAGTTAAATGAATGAATGAATGAATTAATGAAGAGTCGTGGATGAGAGGACAACGGACGTACCCTCTTACAATACATTTTAACATGTGAACAGTAAGTTCGGACGTCAGCATACAACGGTGCCACTGGCAGCCGCTCTCAGTTCATTTATGAGCTTACTGTACCCACCCAAGCCATGATGTAGTGATGTGAAGTGTGAAGGTAGACTACAACAACGTGGTCTAGGTCCTCTACTCTTTTCGAACAGTGGCGTGGGTTCTTTTACGTCCCACAAAAACCAGCTAACTGTAAGTGATGTGAGATGGGACCTACGGTTTTTCGACCTTATCCGAGAAGACTAGAAAGTTTAACCATTGCAGATGTCATTACAAAGGCAGCACTTTCTTCGCAGTTATTTAAAGACCCTGAGTGTTGGTCAGGCCGGGGTTCGAACCCGTGACCTCCCGCTCACCAGACCCTTCTCTCCCAACTGAGCCAACCAGGCGACGGTTTTGTTCTCTTTTGATTGCATTTTATCAAGTACCTCTCCTGAATAAGCCCAGCCAACAGGAGGGCAATTTACATGCCCATGCGTGCATCCGCTGAACGACAATAGCGTGAGTGCATCAAATCTGATGGCGGGAAATTGAAAATAATGGGGCGCGGTGGAGGACACGCGCATGGATTGTACGAATTGTGGTTAAAATCATGAAACTTGGCAGAAGTGTTTAACTTCATGTGCCTATCAAATGTGGATATGGAGCAATGGCGAAATTATTATGGGTTGTCGAGGTATTTCCGGTATCCAATTAAAACCGGAAGGGTAAAATTTCAAACCGGGAGTAGATTTTAAAAAGCATAATTGATTAATTTAATATATAGATTTAGCCAGGGCTAAAAGCGAAACTCACGATAATATTATTCTCGTTCACTTTTTTTGCACTGCTGCTCATTTTCACCTTGCATTGGTGGCCGCTAGCATTTCGCATTTTGTCACCGCCGCTAAAAAATTTTTATGTTGTCCTTCCAACAAAAAAATGTCTTCTTTGTTTTTTTTATCCATCGCTCTAGATCTCTCGCCTTTTTTCTCGTTGAGTTTCGCTGGCCTGCCGCCTACTTTCTCTTTTTCTCTGTCTTTCGATCTCTTGCTCTATCATGGTTCCAAATTTGTGGACATGACAATTAATCTAAGGTTATTACTTTTGACAACACGGATAGGGAAACAATTTCCGCTTTCCGTTTTCGTCCTTATTGAGCTTTAGTTGTCTCTGCTTTACAAGACGCAGGTGACTATGCGATTTCCCTCCAAAATAATCTCTAGTTGCATTTGGGTTGCCATACCAGTTGATTGAGTTATTTTACATTAGTATGCCTGCGGTGCGGACAGACGGTCGGTGGTCGGCGGTCGGTGTACGGTCGCGTGATTACCAAATTTTGTGGGATGGGTAGATTTACTTACCCATGGTGCTCTGCTGGCGCGCGCTTCGCGCGCGCCAGAATTCAGGTTTAAATTGACGGATTAGGGATAATAAACACAAGCATTATTATTCATTCAAAATATTTCCCAATTCTGATTGGCTAAAAGCACCCGCATAATTCACCATAACCAGTTACTGATGACCAAATTTGGAAGAATTTTGTGTTTAACGAGGAAATGACGTCAAAAATGCGGCCTTCTACAGGTTAATCAACGTTAACCGAGAAGACCTGGGGACGAGGTTGAGTTGTTTTGGTTGTGAACTTGAAAAATGGCGGACATTTCACTCGTTTCAAGAGTAAGAACTAGGGGAAAAATAGCTAAAAACATGGCAGGAACAACAAGAAGACAACTCGAAGGGCGACATGTGCTATTTGGAGAATATTTGCGGACCCAGTGAACAACCCTAAACGTGCACTATCGATGGATCGATGGGGGTAAGCATGTTTAGCCATGTTTTTAAACTAGGAATTATTTTGAATAAATAATACAACAATTATTGAATTCGGCTTTCGTGTCATATGAAGAATTAAGGAGATCTCGGAGGGTGTTATCCGCCTCGGCCTACGGCCTCGACGGATAACACCCTCCACGATCTCCATAATTCTTCATAAGATACTCAGCCTCATTCATTAATTGCTAATTATAACTACGTTTTTTTTTTCTGGGTGCAAAAGTATTTATTTTACTGTTAAACTATGGAGGGGGTCGAAAACCTGGTTATATAAAGTGCCAATCCGGTGTAGGTGGTTGTCACAAAGATACAAAGACTCTGTATTCCCTCTCCAAAAACCCCTATTAGTAATTAGTGAAATTCAACTAGTCGTCTGTTATCTGTGAAGCGTTCTGATTGGTTGAACTACTACTAGGCTATATGTTGTAGCCCACTAATAGCGAAAAACGCCGGCTGTGAAAACCAAAATAATGGCGGCTGATCGCGTTTTGCTAGCTAAAGTTGTTTTATCTCGATATTTTTGACCAACTGGGGATTTTACTAAAATGATTATTCCTCTCGCCCTCATGGGCTATTGACTCAAAGCCCATTCGGGCTCGAGGAATAGACTGATCATGGGCGCAAGTAGGCCTTTCCCGATTGCGCTCGTAAAATCCTAAAAAAGTGCTGGCAAAAATAGCTAAAAAGTGCTCAAAAAGTGCTCAAAATCTCAAAATAGTGCTCAAAAGGTGCTAAAAGTTGTGAACAGTTACCTCTAAGTATTTCGTAAATATGTCAATTTTTACTGAAGTAATTAACAATCTCAGTATTTTGCGTAGTGTTATTCGACAGGTTGTTACGAAAGGTTGATAGAATATAGAACAATAATATTTTTAAAAAACTAAAGCCGGTTACGAATTGTAAATTAATTCAGCAGTACTAGCATCAGATGATTTAGAAATTTGAGATGACACACGCATGATACATCAGCCAATCAGAAACTTCTGTTCTCACGCTCAGTGAGGATAAGTCCACGTGCCTGACCATGACAACGGTCTTTTTTTCTTGACATCATCATTAGTTATTCAAATTTATGACCTGGAACACGATTCTCGTTGCAGGCGACACACAGTTTTTGCTTTAAAATGTTTTAGAAGACATATGTTGCTTGAAATTTGCTCGAAATGTGAAATATTGCTCAAATGTTGCCCAAAGTGCGAAAAAGTGCGTAAGGGTGCTCAAAATGCAAAATAGTGCTCCAAACTCAAAAAAGTGCTCAAAAGGTGCTCAGCGCAATCGGGAAAGGCCTAGGCGCAAGATAAAAGTAGCCGGGTTGCTAGGTCAGCGGTCTTTAGAGAAAATTCAAAATGAGTGGACGAAGATTCTCACGGGACTGACTTGAGTGTCTCGGGTGAAGAAGGTCATTGAACCATTTTATTGGCTCATTACATTTTTTGGTAATTGAGGACAAAGTTATTAAGCAAGCTGGTTAAGCCGCAAAATTGCACAAAAATGCTTAGAAATCTCACTTCTGTTGTACAATTTGCATATTTTAGCACCAGAGCAAAAAAGTTTTTGTTTTTCGAGCAACTATTGAGCGACTTTCATTACAAAAAGCAACTTTTGATTGTTTTTTGACCAACTTTTGAGCGACTTTTTGAGAAATTGCGGGAAAAATTTTTGGAAAATCTGGAGCAACTTGTGGAAAGCCCTAGCTACGAGTGTTTATTTAGTTCTTTTACATTATCCCCAACAGGAAGTGCCTCGTTAGCGCAGTAGGCAGCGCGTCAGTCTCATAATCACACAATAGATATCTGAAGGTCGTGAGTTCGATCCTCACACGGGGCACAAATTTTTTCTTTTTTTTTTTTTTCTTTTTTTTTCCCTTCACCCTCATTGTTTTTTTTTTCGTTTTCATGTTTTGGCCTTTTTTTGTGTTGACAAATGTAAAGATTTTTATTTCTCGTGTCGCATTCACCCAGCATGTGCACTGAGTTAGTCATGATTCGAGCACAGAGCTTGACAGAGGACTGTACTTAATGCTGCATACACACGGGGTAGGGTAAAAAGAACTACTATTCTAATTAACTTTGTACAGCATCCCATTATTTTCCGCAAAAAAAATTCAGGGACTTAGGTTCCGTTCCCGACACGCACTTGGGGATAAAGAAAAGAAAAAAGACATAACATCTTGTTGTTGTTGTTGATCTCGTTTAATATCCCCTAGTCGCAAACTTGTAGCGTGCGACTGCGATATCCATTCCAAATTTGAAATAGCTCGACTGATATCAAGCACAAGGGTTTTCATTGTTGTTGAACATGATTGATGTTAGAAGTACTAGAATTGGGTGCTTTATCGTCTTAATTCCTTAGTTCCAAGTGTAACGTGGCGTCGTTGTTTGCAAGTGTCCTGACTCATAAGAAATGAACAGATTTAAGAGAAAACGCGGACTGCAAGCAGTCCACTAGATCAGCGTCAGTTTACTTTCTCACTCTGTTCTCTAACGAATCATGCAGCGGCGGGTATTTTATCCCCATTATTTATTTATTTATTTATTTATTTATTTATTTACTTATTTATACATTCATTTATATTATCTTCCTTTAGTAAAAAGCACTAGAGAATATATTTCTCTGTATGTTAATAAATAAATATAAAGTTAAATAACGATAGAAATGTACTTCTAAAATCAAAATAAAATAAGGATGAACATTTCTTTCCCTTATTATAATACACTTTAGTAAAAATATGAACCGTAGAAGGGTTTTCAAAAGTCTGCATCTTGAATTTTCAATGTTATGAGGGATTTTTTACTTGTTAGATACGGGTTGACTGTTCGTGATACAGCCGACTGAAATCTTCGACTCGAAGTTAAGCTAGTGGCACTGTTACTTCGGCTTGATATCGCCGACCTCACGGGCGAATATCGATCATTTTCTGAGCGTAAGTCGTCGCCGGGAATAGAGGCAACGGAAATCTTGGGTACCTTCGGCTCGTCGGGTTTAACGGGCTTTACGCCTGGACGAAAGGAAGACTCCGGAGACAACTGTTCGGCGTAAAGGTTCATTATTTGACTCAAGAAAGCTAAAGATGAAGAATTATAGACACTAAAATGAGAGTACCAGCTGTATTCGTCATCCATGGTGGTTCTGTCTTTGGTGAGATTGCCGGTAGACGAACGAAAATGTGTTCGTGACATTCGTGGCATCAATGACTGTTCGCTTAATCGTCGGCTTAGTGTAGGTTTTGCTATTTTTGCTCTAGTTATTCCACGCCCTGCTGCGACAGGTTCATTCTCTTTGGGCAAAGACATTACAAATCTCGGGCTCTGGAGGGCCTCTTGGTCGTAAACACTAGGCGATTTAGCGCGCGGAGATGAGTTGTTCACAATATTTTCAATAGCAGCCTCCGCTGGTTGCTCTAATCCTAATTCTCGCCCAACTTCATCTTTGCGTGATGTCAGACCAGGTGCGGAAACTGAGTCATTCCACGCATATTTTCGTCTTCGAGGTTGCGTTTTTAAATTTTTCACTTCTTCTAGATCTTTAGTTTCATTTGAGCTTGTAAGTTTTCTTGATATTCTCGTCTTACGTTTCAATTTTTTCTCTTCAGACTTCACAATAAATTTGTCCGAAGGTAACTGTACAGATTCCTTTAAAAGAACAATTTTCTTGTTTTGAACTCTTTGCGGATTAGCGCGTCTTGTGTCGACGGTTCTATTAATTCCATATTTGCTATCTACAAAGCTACGAACTTGGCCTTTTAAAGGGGGCTCATCCTTCGAAGAAATAAACTCCAAGAAAGGGTTCACTTGAATATTCGCTGATGCATTACCTTCGGTCAGCAAAACCTGCGCGCAATTTTCGTGGCCGAGTCGTTTAGCTTCTAAGAAAGGAGTTCTGTCTTCGTGATTCCTAACGTCTATGTCGACTTGAAATTTTTTCAACTCATTAAGAAGAAACTTCACCAAGTCGACGTTACCCGTTCTGACAGAATGCATTAGTGGAGTATTCCCGTCAAGATCCTGCAGATTTAAATCGACATCCTGATCTGCCACGGTACAAATAAGCCGGACAATGTCTTCTTTCGCGTTCATACAGGCGTGAGATAACACATGTCTACCTTGTTGATCAACGGTGTTTACATTCGCACCATACTGCAATAAAAGTTTCAGCAAATTGTGACGCGTTCGGGATTTTTCGTCCGGTAGCTGGGCTGCGCGCATGAGAGGAGTTAATCCTTCTTCATCTGCAAAGTTCACGTCCACTCCGCTCTCTAGTAGATGCCTCGTCTGGTAGATTCGTCCATCGCATATTGACTCCTTCAGCCTTAACATACTCGGAGTCGTCAAAGTACCCTTCATGGTGTGTGTAAGAATAAGAGACAGTTAAACAATCTCGTGATGTTGCGCTTTCTGGCTTGAAGTCCAATATTACCTCCTTAAACCTCCTCTGCTCGATAAACTTAACAACAAATTGCGGATTTATGAGGCCACGGTATTGTTTCGCAAATTGAGCAACTATTAGTGACCTTTGTGTTATGTTACGACAGTTGCTAAGGGGAATAATGAATTCCGATACGCAACAGTACTCTCAGCTTGAAAATGAAAGAGTTTTCTATTGTATTTAACTGATTAATTGAACCTTTCAATCTTAAAATAACAACTGGAAGAAAGGCGGCTTATAAACATTGTTTGGCGTTTGCTTTGAAGTTGCTTTTGAATGAGGTGGTTTACATGCTGCGGATTATCTGTTACCGCTGTTAACAAATCTTTCCCTTTAAGAGGTACCAACCGTTTTAATGTCTCAAAGCCAGATTATCTTTATTAACACTGAGAACACCTGATAATACAAAGTTCAGTTTATCCATTGCCGAAAAAATCCGATTGCTCCGCTACACCCTGTTTTCAGTGTTCTTTCGGGCTAATATGACTTGCTGGTGGTGCCCGGCCACCATATCGGGTCAATACGACGGAGATAAGGAGCTTCGTCCCACTTTGGCGAGGTTGCGAGATCAGCGTTTAGGGTCCCCAGTTTATAACGCAAAAAAAAAAAACGCGAGGGCTAAAGTTTAATCCGAGTTTCTTTTTCTCTCGTTCAAACGCATTTAATCGTATCATTTTCTCTAATTCTTTGTAGAGCATCCAATGAACAAATTGTAGACAAAAAGAAAAATATATATCTGAACTTTGAATTTCATTCGCAGGCCTCTGCCTATAGGTCATTTTAATTCAGGTTTGAACAACCGGGCCCAGATATATTTGGAGAGCGAGATTGGGGGGGAAAACGAAGAAGGGGAAATTGAGAAGAGCGGCGCTTCTCAATCTTAACTATTGCTTCGCTCGCTTTGTTTTTGTTTGTTTGTTTTTTTTCTGGAACAGGCTAGCTTTTTCCCTATTTCACTCTGTCGACTGAACCACGTGACGCAGTCATACTCATGTTGCTTGTACCTTCGATGTCTTCTCGGTTCATTTGACGCCACTGGCACCGCAGGATCGCCTTGAATGTTTTCCGAAAGTCTTTGTTAAAGGTCCCGTATATTAGCGGATTACATCCCGAGTTGAGCATCGAGAACACTTCGGCGGATTCTATCGCGATGGACGAGACGCAGCTCTGACATGCGCAGTAGATGATAAGCATGATGTTGAGCGGCCCCCAACAGAGAATGAAGACTCCAACGACAATTGCCACGGAAAGAGTGATTTTTCGCTCCTTATCCAACTTTCTTCGTCGTTTTTCCTGCTCAGTTCCGCCTACCTATGAAGAAAAGGACAGTGAAAGTTAAGACTTCGGTAATGAAAAGTCATCAAATTATTAGGCTGATTTAGCAACAGAATGGAAAGGTCATTTGACGACGGGAAAGCGTGAACCGGGAGGGACTAAGCTCGACTTCCGGTGCCCAATTTGCCGCTCTGCCATTGGTCGAGCCAGTTGTTTGATTTGAGCACGCCGTCGTCAACTGACGTTCCTGTTCTGTTGTTAATCAGCCTAACTGGCATTACTGTCATCACTTAAATATTTCACTGTCATAAACGAGAAAGCGGCTTAGCTTTTCACCTAAGGGTACCCAGCAGAGGCGTTGAACTACTGTTACTGACCCAAAATCTCGTGTTTATCGTTGTTGTTACAATAATCATCGTGACTAAGTTACTACAGAACGGGTGGCGGCATCCAAAATACCGCGGAGGCAATTCAGAATGAGTGTTTTTCAGTTTTTGCCTGACACTGGCCATTGGTTCAATTATAATATTTTTATTTCATTGATTTCTTCTGATTATTTTAACTTTTTGTCATTATTTCTTATAAGTTGTTTCACGGATTAACGTCATAATATCCAGTAAGCGCCCCGTCTTGAATACCGTGCCCCCTCCCCCTCACTTTATCAAATTAATAGTAGGTCATAAAAGGAAAACGCACTCTATTGTAACAGTTTTGGCTTCGACTATAGAGGAATCAGTAACGGCGAATATACAGTCGACCGTCTTTTTCATTAAGTCTCTTCCATTTATTTCTATATCCATGTGCTTGCAGAGTTCCTTTATGTGCGTCATCTCCTCTTTTAATTTTTGTCGTATTGTCGCGCACTAGTTCCCAGGAGTAACTAGACTATTCTCTTGTTCGTGTAAAGGAAAACGTAATAAGCGGCCCTACCTTTCGATTAAACGCCCATCCTTTTTGGCTGAAATAAGCGCCCGTGTGCTTATTCGATGAAATACGGTTAGTAAAATCAAGTTAACTCACTCTAGATCACCGCACAAGTATATTCTAATGAGGAGTCACTCCCCTTTTTTTCTGTTTGGCTTCTCCCTCTTTGACTTCTTTCGATTGCGAATTCTTGAACATTATTACGTAATTTCCACTTTCCTCCCACTTTCCACCCATTTATGACTCCCACCGGTTCCCGTCCTTTCCTCTACCACTTCCCGTACACTTCTCCCGGGTTCCCAGACCCCTATTCCTCTCCCAAAAACAAAGGAGCAGCATTGTATCCTTCATCTCACCGTCATAGAAGCAATCTTATGTGCCTGAAGCCGCGCCACTTGAAATATCTTACAATAAGCCAGGCAGGTGATGGTCAGCGGTGTGAGGCAGACAGTAACATGTAGAAAGAGGATGTAGCTTGGCGCGAGATGCAGGTGATACTGGCAGTACCCTCCCTGAATACGAGGACGGACATCTCGCCAGCCAAGGTACGGAAATACAGACACCACAAGAGACAGAGTCCAAATAAAGCCGATCAAATAAGCCACGCGTCTGGTTGTTACTATAGCCTGGTAGCGTAAAGCGTTATTTATTGCTGAGAAGAATCAAAATACTATTTTCAGATTGTTAAATTTTGCAGAGTAGGAGTGAATCCCGTTTGCCTGTTTGCTTCCTAACTCAGAAAAGGGAAGTTTTCCACCCTTCCCAGCCGTCAAAGCGGCAACAAAGAACAAATCTGTTATACAGTAGAACCTCGATAGGCGAACTCGGATAACTCAAATTCCCCGTTAACTCGAACTAACTTTCCCGTTTCCCTTGATCCAAATTTCATTGAAATTTATCCCGATAACTCGACGAGCCCCTGCTAACTATATATTCGAACTGTTTTTCGTTTCCCTTCAGAGTTTGAGTTACCGGATTTCTACTGTACGTACGTATATTGAAAGGTTGATGAAATTTTCAGGCAAAAGACCTTTAAATCCCTTATGCATTGTCGTAACATATTCCTCTCGTATACAGCTTCAAAAAAGGTTGTCGGAGGGAACGGCGAATGTCGAGCGGAGGT